ACCAACGCAAATTATATTTAATTATATTACTTCGATTTTCGTAGGAGTATGTGCATAGTGGTTTATTTAATTTTTATTTTTTCTTAGTTTCAGTTAGTTTGAGTTGTTGTCCAATGGGGCAAGACGTTTGGTTCGATATTTTTTTTAATCGAAGCTGTTCGCAATGATAGACCTCATTGCGGTGTATCGGATGAGATGTCATTAGATGTTGAAAATTTTGGTCATTTCAATTGTGTGCTTTATGAAAAGATATTCATTTTATAACAACGCATGCTCTCACAGTTACATCTCTATTTATGAGCATACATTGCTAGAAGATAAAAGTTCATATGAATTTTACCAACTATCATCTCCGAAACCTGTCAATTTGTAACAGACGGAGGGTACACATTGTCAGCTGCTGTTTTAGTACCCTAAAAAAACAGCTTTATATTCCACCTTTGTCGCCTCATACGATTCATGCAATATGCGGGAATCTTCTTCGTAATATGTTGTCTTTTTGTCGTTTTTATTCTTTCTTCGTCAGTGTCCTTCATGTTGGCTGACTGCTTTCGATAATTATTTCTTCTTCGCTTGGTTTCTTCCATTACCTTGGGTCTTCCTGTGGTATTCTTATATTCATAGCATAGCAGTAACTCAACGAAACAGGATGTATGTACATGTATGTGTAGCCGACTGTAAGAGGGCATGTGCATGCTGTGACTTTTCCTGTAAAGATCTGACGGTAGTTGAATACACGTAAATTCCTCAAAAGCCACAAACTCGAAACGAGAAGCAATAATCATTAAAATAAACTGAAACATATGCTCGTTTATCTTCTTGCTCCTTCGTAAATTCTTTTTCTTCCGCCTCAACACACATCATCTGCTTCGATATCAACCTCCTTTTAATGGAAAGGAGAGTTTGCAGCTTTCATCCTTCGAGTCTTTCAATTTCTTCTTCGTTCATGAGTATCATTCTTTTTCAAACTTACAACAGAAAAATTAAAAGCGCGGGTTTTTGTTGCTTTGTTTTCGTAAACGTGTATGGGAAGGTATGCTTATGGCATGGCGCGTGCGGATGTTCAGAATCGCGCACGTTCCACTTTTCTACTGCTCCGTTCGTTACACTTTGGTTCCATGAGTTGTTTTTTTGTTTTTCGTTCGCCACCACCGTCAGTTTTAGATCAATAAAAAACTGAATTGGGTTTCAAAAAACCACACAACACTTGATTTCAGCTTATCTCTTGATATAACTTAATACCTTTGAATATATAATGTAACGTAACGTAAATTCTGCGCAGTTTTAAAAACTTTAATAACATGAGCTGTCGATAATTTTAATTACAGTAATTATCCGATTTTATCCTCGATCGCGACTTTTATCTTTCAATAATTTCACATAATCGTAATTTCAAATCGTTCTCATTCATCTTCAATACGATTTTGTAAACTTGAAGGGTGCTCATCTTGTCCCGGTTTGTGATCTTGTCCCGTCTACGCCTAAGCTTCATTTTTTGTTGATTTTCTTTATTTCTATCACTCCGACCCTTTCTGCAATTTCTCAGAAAAACGACGAATGAAAATTTTCACCTTAGGGCATTAAATGATTTTGTAAATTTTTAAATTATATGTGCATTTGTCAAAATTTGTCTAGTACTTTTTATTTCTTTGATATTTTTGAAGATTAGTTCTTGAAATGTATGCATTACTAGGACATTTGTTAACTTTTATTGTGATGTTAAAAGTTTGTCGTGGATCTTCAATAGATTATTTCATGTTGGACCAGACTTTTGGCGGTTTCTATTAGAATTTTGAATTTCTATGAATTTTCAAAGAATAGGGTTTTTTTTTTCTAATTTTCGTCCTACTAAGTACAACCCGCACTTAACCTATCTTTTTCAAACGGATATGAACCCAAAAATGGAGTGATTCTACTATATATGACTTCCATATTTATTTACCTTTCTATTTATACGTACTATTGGATTTGATAAAGAGTCACACATAATTAAGATCTTGTTAGAAATCTAACACTGCTTCTTGATTCCAAATTCTATCTATGATTTACAATTCCGTCCTAACACATTGAAACGCCATTTTTTTTTCTTCTAATTTTTGCTTCGTTCTACGAATGATGGAAGAAAAAAAATGGATTTGCTTGGAACCCTTCTTTTGTTATGAGCCAACGCATCGAAACAAACGTAGGGTAATGAATTTTGGTTGGACCTAACCAAAAAATGAATAATGGTTGGACCTAATTTAGTCCATATGTTTTAAGAAATTTCTTCTTAAAGGTCATAACTATAAAGAAAAAAGCCTTTCATGCATAACATATATTTTATAAGAATTTTTCAAATTATTTCGGTTTTAAATTAAATGGTCCACTTTTAACTCATTTTCTCACTTTAGAACGTCCAAAAGAGGAATGTTTTGAATGTAGTGAATTTGACTTATTTGTTGTAATAAAGATATACACAACATAGTTAAAGGAATATAAAGCTATTTCATAGTTGATCCATTATTGTTCAAACATTTAAAGAATGTCTTGCCGATCAGAATAAGGAGCTGTTCGCAATATGGTACTTGCACGGTCTATATAGAGGAAGTGCACCAGTATTGGCCATAGGTTCCTATTTTGGCCAAACCGATTAAATTAGAATATTCGTGCATTTTGTGATCGAAATGTTTATGTACATAGACGCATATGATTTGTACCAACAAACTGAAAGCAACTGAACATCTCAAATTGAAACAACGTGAAATATCGTCAAAAGATGGCCAAAATAGGAACACAAAACAAACGTTTACCCTATATAGATAAAGAACTGAAAATCTAAAAATTTAGGTTCGATACCCAAGCAAAACTGGAGATCAAATTAAAATCAAAATTTGCTGTTTTGATGTAACTTATTTTGAATACTTCAGTTGATCTCATTTTGGTTGACAGCACAAATGAGAGCAACATTTACACTGGTAAATCAAACGGAAAACTAATGTTGCTTTCAATGAAATCAATTTGATTTATGTTTTTGTATTCTCAATGTTTAACTGAATACGGGCCTGGTGTAAATAGTTAGCATCCATGCTTCTCTCTCACGCTGAAAGATTTGAGCTCAAATCTCACCCGGGCAAGTCACAAATGATATAAAATGTGTAAAACAAAACAAATAAACTATAATCGTTAACATCGGCAGATGAACTTTAATCAAATTTTAAACAAGGCGTTAACAGCAGAACTTCAAGTTAAGTTGCTTTTATTTAAAAAGTCTTGATTGCATAATGAAAGCACAATGTGATATCTGACTAATGTCGCGACAATTGACATCAAAATGAGTTTTCATTATGATAGGAACTGCAAACTTTAATATCGATTTACTTTCATTTTGTTAACTGAATTTGCTCGGGTACAACGCAAACGCGGTCAGAAGTACCCATATTCAAATTAAATGATGCACACGTAAAAACGCGCGTCAACGCAGCATACCCGCAAATGGGTGGGCAGCAACTCATTTTACTACTGGTACATACTTCTGACCATGTTTGCGTTGCTACAGCATTACCGCTAGCGGTGGTTTGCCGCACAAATTTTTTGTATGTTTCCATTATACTACCTTATAATCGCATGTCAGTTCCATATGGATTTTCGTCAATTTTAAGATAATAACGCTATCCACTATCAATTGGCATCTACTTTCATATTACGTGATAAAACTACGGTCTTTGATCACACGGCAAATGAGAACGACCCAAATTTGAGTTCAGTTCATTCATAATCGCCAAAAGTGCAGGAACTCAGCGATGAGTAAATTTGTCTCATGGTTTCCTGTGGAAAATCTAAAAATCTGCCGGAAAATGAGGAAATTGACGAAAATTTTATGCAGTCTCGGAGTAGTACCAATAGACTGAGTGAATCCAATCTTTACTTTTCTCAAATTCGGGAATTTTTCCCTAGAAAATCCTGGGAAAACATGAGACAAATTTTACTCATCGCTGAGTTCCTGCACTTTTGGCGATTATGAGTGAACTAAACTCAAATTTGGGTTGTTCTCATTCGCCGTGCTTGAAAAATGTGAAAACAACATCAAGTCAGTATGTCCATCAAGCAAAGTAATCGCATAGGGTAGATAGGGGCAATATGGTCCCCCCAAGAAAAACACATCATAATACATGAAAAACATTCATAAATGTATGATAGCTGTGATCATGCTCATGCTTTGGAATATGTTTGATAATATACAATGTTCAAAATATGGATAAAATATGATAGACTCAATAAATTATTATGTGTGAAAAAAATCAGTTTTTGCTCCGATCTACAACCATACGGGGTAATATGAGCATCCTAGTAAAAGTTAACGTTTTGACAGGTTTTCGCTAGAAAATAACATTCAGGAATCATGTGAAATAGAAACATAAGTTCTTTTAGTAACAGTTGCGTGTATTGCTCGCTGTAGAACCAGCGGATCAGTAAAATGTTTGCATATCTGCATATCTTATAATATTCTAAAGATTTTGAGTTAATGTTACATTTCCATTATTATCTTAGACATATAATTGAATTTTGATACGGTTTTTATGGAGATGCATATTAGAAGCATTTTCAACAAGTTTGTAAAAAAAATTAGATTGAGTTAGTAGGTATTATGCCCGAACGAACGGTGGCCCATCTCGCCCCGTATGGTCTTCTTGCCCCCATCCCCCCTATCAGTCCCATCCTGAAATTCAATCGTCCAGAGGTCAAGTTACAGTTCTGCTTTTTGAATCGCACAACATTATCGATTAACTTACTATGATTTTTAAAATATTTACATGGAAATTGCTCTTAACTGTCATTTTCTCAATGTCTACTTTTTTCCATATGGGACTGATATGGGATTTTGGGCAGTATAAATCTACATTAAATGAATAATTGAGGGTTGTCAAGCTTACTTGTTAACTAGTTATTTATTTTTAAAGACTATTGGTTTTATCGTCAGCTCTTATATTTGTATTCTTTTGTTTATTTATTTATGTTTTCAGCAAATTGGCTGCAGGCTGAAAATTTTCTCCAATATTGCTCCACAGAGCACGGACCGTATTGCGCAAGTGATTGGAAGCGAGGAACAATGTCTGACAGCATTGAACGATATCATTGGGCTGATCCAGGGAACACCGATCAAGGGTCCAGTCCACAATTACGATCCTCACAATTACGACGATATGTACGCCGATGAGTATGGTGGCTATGGAATTGGCGGCGGTGGTGGCGGCAACTTCCGTAACGGTCGAGGAGGTAATGCTAGCGGTGGCGGTAACGACGGAGGCAGCGGTGGCGGCGGTGCGGGTGGTTTCGATCGACGTGACCGTTTTGATGAAAGAGGCCGCGGTGGTCGCGGATATGATCGTGGAAATGATCGCAATCGCGGCATGAGGTTAGTTCACTCAACCCTTTCCTTCTCCTGGTCACAAGCGTTTCGTCGTTTTTGATCTTTAAGTGTATCAATTTTCTTATGAACTTATGAATCCTTATAAAGAGCAATAGTTCTGTAAGTTCCACACTCATACGAATTTCTGTAAGATAGTTAAACATTATCAATATTGTTGAAAAACAAAAAATGCTTGAGGAGGAAAGGTTTCATCAGTATATATTTACGCAGTTTAATTTAATCAATATATTGCAGAGAACGAGAATTTATCAATCCTTGGGCACCAAACGTCAATGGAAACCAAATGGGAGGAAACAGTTTCGGAGGTGGTGCCGGTCTTGGAATGGGTGGATTGGGAGCAATGAACCTTGGAGGTTCAGGAGGAAATATGGGTAATATGCCTAACATGGGCAACATGGGCAATATGGGTAACATGGGAAATGGAAGTATGGGAAGTTTCGGAGGCAACAATACCGCCATGGACAACAAAACATCCACCCAAGTAACAATTCCAAAAGATGTAAGTACAGACAATTACACGCACTTGGATAGTATTTTTTACTTCCATTATTATTCACAGCTGGCAGGTGCAATCATTGGAAAAGGTGGTGGTCGGATTCGTCGTATTCGAAATGAGTCTAATGCTTTTATTCAAATCGATGAAGCTCTGCCGGGATCAACCGATCGTATCATCACCATCACCGGATCACCGAAAGAAATCCAGGCTGCTCAGTACATGTTACAACAGAGGTAAGTCACACATCATTCGTTTATACAGTGGTGTGATAGGTACTTGTTTTGTGTCCGTTGTTTACCTAACATAAATTCATCTAATTTGTGAAATCTGCAACGAATGGCAAAAAGCCCAGCATAGAGGTACGGTCCCCGCCCCTCCAACATATGACATAATTTGTGTTAAAGTGATTGTTAAAATCAAAGCTAGGTTGCAGCAAAGAAAAAAGAAGAACTACTGTTAAATGCGTTCCTATTAAATAATGCTACACAGCTACTAACTATGCACGTATCCACACTAAATACCTACTTACAAGAGCTGGAAGATAAACGTTGAAGCTTTTGTAAATAATTAGTTATTTTGCTTATTTCTAGAATACCGAGTCTCGCGCACGCAATCATATCGCAATTCAATGTTGGGTAGATGAACTCTTATTCGATGGTGCTATTCACCCCTATCCTATTTCAATCGGAACAGATTTTCTATACATAAGGTTGCAAATGCGTATTTCGCATCAAAAAATGTTTTTTTTTTTAAATAATGAAATTAAAAGATGTTATGAATACATGTTTTACATGTAAGTTATAAGAAGAGGTTGCAAAGTATGTATTTGACACATCAAACCTGCCATTTTTGCTTTCTAAGAGTCGCAATCAGCGATCAGCTGATGAATGATTGATAATTTAGAAAATTGCTGATTGCGACTCTCTAGAAGCGAAATTGACAGGTTTTATGTGGCAAACATAAATTATGCAGTCTTGGATATAGAAACAAAAAATGTGATCTAATGCTTTAATAATTCCAAAAAACGTTTCCTTAGTTTTCATAGAAAAACAGGTTGCCGACAACCGTCACTCTCATCTGAGAAGAGCAGGTTGAAGAGTTGTAAAAACATTTTCGAACAGTTTCGGACAATTCTTTCGATTGGAATGGATAGAGAAGCAAGCAAACGTAAACAAACAAACACGGCATATGTGTGTGTGTGTGTGTGACGCTGCGAAAATGCTAATAGAAGCGCGGACGCTGCTAAGGTTGACGACGTACATTCCCCTATTTGCAACCTTGTATATTGCCCATACAAGCATAGGAGTTATCCATTACAATCGATTGTAAACTATTTGCATTTTACACTGTGCACTTATAGTAACATGTTTTGTTCAGAAAATATGGTGAAAAATACCAAAACTTGGTTGTCCCATCCATAAGAGTCTACGAATAAATACATTTTCAATAGCGTTTTTCCAGATGGGACTGATGTGCTTTTATGGGCAGTAAACGTTTATTTTTGTACGGGAAATCCGTTTCGATCCAAATCGGGAATCAGGAGTATTTTTATTGGATTGGATTCGCTTTAAGATTTATCCCTTAACCATTCTCCTCATGGTAGCACATGTTTGTCAATCTACCATTAAATAGTCAGTAGGTACTTACTTAAGCTTCTCCGTGTGCTCATTATTCTCGTCCATATGTATTCTTGAAGATTTACTGAGTAACTATTGGAAAACAAACTTTTTTTAAGGATTCGATAATTTTTAGGCATGGAACATCTTTTTGCATCTCAAAATTATCAGAAACCTTCTGGGAAGTAAAGGGTTAACGGCACACCGTCATGTACACAAAAATCGACGCATAGGGGAAATGGCTCTAATGTTGGCCTATGGATCTAAGATTGGGCCCGTCGCTAAAAATCTGCTATTTATTAATTTTGTCTAGATGAACGCGTCATTGGGACGATACTTATGGATATTTGTGGTCGCTATTGAACATTTAGTCGATTGCTGAATTTATGTACGGTCCCAAATCAGGAGACGACATTACATCCATTTCCCCTATTGCAAATGTTTAAATTTCGTCGCTATAAGGAAAACACATTTCTAGAGATAAAAGATGCTTACTGAAACCAACAATGGTCATTTTGAATATTCTTATTTCATTTGCTACGATAACCACCCATTGCAATATTTTGTGTGGAAGACTAGTGATTTTGTTGTTTTGTTTATGATAATAACAATAAATCTCAAGTCTTTCTACAAAGTTTGCTGCTTTCTGCAAATAACAATAGCCGAACACATCGATCCATAGTGACAACATAACCGGGTGGGGAAAATGTATTCAACTGAAAATCCTAATTCCTATTTTTTACATTGGACCTAAAAATTAATCACTGTTATCATTATTCTATTTCAGCGTACGTGAGAATCTGAGTGGAGGCGGCGGCGGCGGCGGCGGCGGTGGCAGCAGCGGCGGCGGCGGCGGCGGTGGATTCAATCGCAACTAAATGCATTTAAATTGCTCTTCGCATACTACAACCATTTAGTCTGTATAAGACACATGTTAGGTATAAGCACATGCATACAGTAGTGGAAAACAAATTTGCATCAACCTGCGATTTTAAATACCAAAATGGCTTCCCGAAATGACGGGTTGATGTTATGTACCGCATATGAAAGATTCCATGGTGATGCAACTTAATTGCTTGCTACTGTATGTGACCAAGTAAAGCCACCGGCTCAAACACAAATCCAAGAAATAGTTGAGCTACTGAGTACGTGTAAAATGTCATACTAAGATCAGTTTGTGACCCTTCTAACCGTAGCAATATCAATCAATCCATTCTTCTATAATAGATTTATACAACTAATTTGTTTGGAATTCTAGAACGACAAATATTTTGTATTATTTTTTATTATTTTATTTTTTATATTTACATCTATTTGGCAAGACCGATTCTATGTTTTTGGCAATATAAAGTTGAATATTTCTAATAAATTACAAATATCTAAAACTGTCTGTTTTGGGATGGCCAGTCATATTTGTGAATGAATATGTTACATTTTTTATTTGTAATACAAATGTCTTAGAAAAAAATATACTTAGTACGAGCAGGTTTGTCCAGTACAAAGTTAACAAATCATTTTGTATCAAGCCCTAGCTACATGAAACTTTTTATGTACGTTAAATAAGTACCAAAGGACAGGCAAGACAGGACAGGAAACATTTCAATAAATAATTGAGTGCGATATTCGATAAGTTCATTCACACGTAACTGACAGGTATTAAGTGTAGCACTTTAATGCGATTGAAAAAAATGTTACGGTATTGAGATGGGTTGATTCTGTAATTGAAATTTAGGATTTTATGCCTTAAGTTCAACGAGAGAATAAATAAAACTAACACAACATATAAAATCTAATTCAGCCATTCATCCGAAATATTCAATAGATTAAGGCAGTACTTCCCAACCTGGGCGCCGCGAAGCTTTCCCAGGTGCGCCGCGGGCTCATTAAAAATATATGTACACTGAAGTCTTTTTTTACAAGGTTTTTTAACGATTTCTCGATAACGATACGTCGTATTGACTTGATTCCAATCACATTATCCGTTTCAAGCTATAGGTAATCGAATGTAATTTTTGGTGTAAACACAGAAAATTTTAAAATATGTCTATATGGACCATAGCATGCTATAATTACAAATGGCATCAAAATCCGTTTTTTTAAAGCATTTAAACATGTGAAAAATCAAAATCTCGTAGGGTTTTTTTACACGGTTCGTATCCCCCGTGTAAAAAAAAGACCTGAGTGTATATTACAGTTAGGGAACGTAACTTTTTCCAAATTCATTCATGACCAGTGCCTAATATTCAAACATGTAATAAAAAATTCAATGTGTATCCTCTGTTCACTTCTGTAGTTGAGAAGTGGTCTCAAATCTCTCCCCCTGCAATAGTGACATCCAACCAACTATGCTTTTGTCGTAGCGGTGATTAAAAATGTAAAACATCTGTCAAACGTGACTCACATCAGAATTTTTACTTTTAAAATTGGAAATTTGCCTTATTTTGTACGTTTTTGGTGATCAAAAAGCTTGTAAAATTGTAGGAAAAGTTTATTAAAACAAAAAAAAAACTTCATTCTCTATAAAGAAATTCGCCCTTCTTTTCTATTAAATATTGGTGCGCCGCGGCTTTTTCAGAAAATTTCAAAATGCGCCGCGTTAGCAAAAAGGTTGGGAACCACTGGATTAAGGTGAGGCAAAAGTTCGTTTAGAGGTTTTCGACGCCTGTGCAAAATAAAACTCATTGTTCTGGGACTTGTTTGGGGGGTCTTTTAGAGCCAGACTTTTCCCTAAAAAATCATATAATTCGAAGAATTATAGGCAAAAGTGTGTTTCGGGATGATAAATTATAACATTTGTACCAACTTTGGGGGCGTACAAGAAAAAATCAATAGTGAAATGGTAATTTTATTTTAGGGCATGATTATGTTTTTCTTGAAGTTGAATTTAGGTGTATCAGACTTTAGATTTGTCGCAGGAAGCTGGAATTACATATATCCCATTATTCTGCGAGTCGAGTACCTCCATGCAAATCAAATGGAGAGTCATCATCGACAAACCGACATGAATGATCAATACAAATTACAAAGAAATTTCAGATCAAAGCACAAAACTGACATATGCCGCCGTGTTTGCGAAAAATATTTATCCTAGCCACGAACACGCGTACAAAATGTATGAGTTGGTTGTCTAATCTATTTCGGCAAAATTATTTCTATCTATGAAGAGCTTTGAGTGGCTTGGTTTATTTCCTTTAAATTCCGTTATAATTGCTTATCTTTTGACAGATACGCGTATTTCGTCTACTACTTACAGACTTCATCAGTGCCAAGTACTCAACACCACTGATACTTGGCACTGATGAAGTCTGCAAGTAGTAGACGAAATACGCATATCTGTCAAAAGATAAGTAATTATAACGGAATTTAAAGGAAATAAACCAACCCACTCAAAGCTCTATCGATACGCCTTGGTAAATAAGTTCAAATGCAGAGTAAAGCCCTGCCAATGGATCAATTTAGATGGTAAAGTTTTGAACCCACCACAGCATGCTTTTGGTGCTACTGTATATGGACAATCAAATGTAAAATACTGTGGTAGCCACAGCACAGTTTTGTCAAAACCTCAGCATTTTCATTGATCCATTGATCAATTTAAATGGCCAATTTTTGAAACCACCACAGCATGCTTTTGGCGCTACTGTTTATGGACGATCATATGTAAAATACTGTGGTAGCCACAGCATAGTTCTGTCAACCATTAGCATTTTTAAAAGAATAAAAAGAAGAGAATTAAGTATAGACACAAGATACAAAAACCCGACATGTTTGTCGGGTATGAGGATCGCAAAGGAGTTGAGAATGGCCAAAACCACCGTCTGTGCAGCAGGGTTACTTCCACTCACTTGCTTTAAAAAAAGTTTTTCGGAATTATGAAATCATGAAATAGTATAATGCTAATTAGTGCTTGTAAGTTACAAGAAGAGGTCATGAAGTATATGTTTGACACATAAAATCTGTCAATTTTGCTTCCAGTGCGTCACAATCAGCGATTTTACGACTCGTGAGCGCTCACTTTGAGTGAACGCTCACGAATCATAAGATCGCTGATTGTGACGCTCTGAAAGCGGAATTGACAGGTTTTATCAGTCAAACACATACTGTACACCCTCTTCTTGTTACTTATAAGTACAACATAACATCTAATGATTGCATAATTCCGAAAAATATTTTTTTATAGCAAGTGAGTGGAAGCAACCCTGCTGTGCAGTGCTGAAAAACGTATCAAGGAACGTTTGTCTGTTTCCCGGAAACTGCGTCAGAACGTCATGAAGGCTTTCAAAGTGGATCCAGGACTTTTGACAGGATTCCAGGACAGCAAACTCGGTGCTGTTCGCAGTACAGTTTGAAATATATGCATTCAGGAAGGTTTCTTCAAATATCGGGCTATTACGCAACCGAACCGGGCCGTAAAGCAATACATAACGGCCAAAATGAGGGCCCGAAAGCTGTATGATCAGGTGCTGACCAAATTCAACAGATGCATCCTTATGAACGATGTCAAATTGGACTTTAAACAGCTTCCGGGACAGAAGTTATATGTTGCCAGGAGTCGCGGAGATGTTCCCAAGAAATATAAATTTATTTTTGCGAACAAGTTAGCCGGTAAGCTGATATGTTAGCGAATCTGCAGCTGTGGCCAGAAGGCTCCGATTTTCATCAAACCAACAATATGAACGGACAGTTATACACCAACGAATGCCTGAAAAAACGTGTACATATTGTCGTTCATTAGGTCCCACCCGGACAGTGTTGAAAAAGTTCTTCAATTGATGCGTTTCATTTTTGCATAAGCCCTTTTCAAGTGTTAATCGTGTACAAAACTAGGGAACCAAATATGTAAAATGGCATGTTCGACAATAACATACAACTGTGCAAAGTTTCAACATACACAGCAACAAAAAATGTAATATCATTCAATGTAATTCAAACTGATGTATGAAATAATGATGTAATAGCAAAAAGCAGTAACAATATTACATCAATGGATGTAATTTTGTTCGCAAAATCGATGTACATCGTACAACGTTATATCAACAGTTATATTACACAACCGATGCAGTGACCTGGTTGCAGCAGTTTGGATGTAATATTCAACAACTTTTTTTCTGTGTAATCGTAGAAGGTCTCTGTTCCGCAATCTAGTGTCAATCACCGACGGACATCGATTGCCATCCATTGACGGCAACCGAATGTGCAGAAAGGCAGCTTCCACACCTGCGTAGGATATCGCACCCATTCACAACACACATGGGCCGGGACCAACGGCTTTACTTCCCTTCCGAAGGAAGACGTGACCAGAGATTTGTATGCCTCAGAAAAATCCCACCGACCTTGGCTGGGATTGAACCCAGACCCATTGGGGTGTTAGAAAGTAGTCACGCTTACCACTACACCACCGGCGCCGGCACAAACAAAACATAGTCGGATATCATATATTTTAATTCTTTTTTTTTTAAACATCAAATCCAATTGAATCGACTAACAAGCAAAGGTAAACAAACCACCACTGGATGTCAGACTGATGAATGCGGGTTCATCGCGTTCATTCGTGACGTCAGCGTGTAGTATCCTATGCATACTTTATAGTCAAAATTGAGTCCTTTATAGTCATTTTTGCGTATTTTTTGATTTCTGTGTACTATAACTACACGCTATTTCGAGGCTTCTCAGCGACTGGGTAAATCCAAGGGGGGGAGGTGGCTGTCAAATATGAACAATCGTCGCCTACCTCGCAAACTGGTTCCAAATGTAAACAAGCCATAAGAAACCTACAGCGTTTGTTTACGTTTGGAACCAGTTTCATACAAGAATGATCAGTAGGCTGATTTGACAGCACGTCCCCCCCCCCCACAGGGTAAATCGCACTCATTTTTGCGTGCTGCATACTGCCCATAAAAGCATAACTATCCCATATGAATAGGAAATCAAGCAAAGATGGGACAATTATGCGAGTATCGGCAGTATATGGAGTTATCAAAAACTGAGTAAACTGGTTTTGCTCCGATGAGTGGGATCAACTCAGCTTCTGGGTAAATGGTTCTGATATCATTTTTATGGCGCACTTTGAAGTTGTGAACAGGCGATTTTTGCGCAGTGAGTTTAAAATTAGTTTTTATGACCTGGATGGCGAAAGCTATCAGCAGTTTGTTGGTAAGGTATTCAACTCCAACAAATAGCTCGTTGGTATAGGTTGGTATCAATAAATACAGAATTATCATTTTCATTGTTTTTTTTTCCAATATTTTTCCTGAACGAATCAATTCAGTGCTAACATTTGAAAACGGCACAAAAGCCATTTGTAAACAAATGGTTTGTGGGCCCTTTACTCGCTACCCGAAGAACGCCCACGCAAACCAACAGCATCGTCAGGAAGGGGAAAATTTCCCCTACCCGATGTTGCTGTTGTGTCGCGTGGGTGTACTTCAAGTAGTGAGTAAAGGGCCCACAAACCATTTGTTTACAAATGGCTTTTGTGCCGTTTTCAAATGTTAGCACTGAATTTATATATAAAGCATTCATGGGGAATTCATTCGCTTCTAGCGAAATGGGTAAGGTTTACTCAGTTGGCAGTTGACCTGAGTAACCGTAACCCAGTTTACTCCATAAGCACGTTTACTCAAATTTGAGTAAAGCATGTTTACTAATTATTGAGTAACTTCACTTTTGATTGGATTGATGAATGATTTTCGACTCAAAAATGAGTATACGCTTTACACGCTATTTCAAAACTACCCAAATTTGGGTAGAATCCACCCATATCGGTCAAAACTGAACCTACCCAATAATGGGTAAACTGTTTGAAGTGACAAGTTGACAAATGAAGAACATCGACATGAATCCGGTACAAACCGTTTACGTCAAAACAGAGAAAGAGGCGAATGATGCCCAATAAAAACTTCACGACTTGACATAACTTGGCAGTGTAGTCCGTCAACAGTGGACTTGCCACTAAAGGGTGAAAAGAAGAAGACATGAATCCGATCGACGTTGTTCATTTGTCAACTTGTCGATCCCAACATAGTTTACCCATTTTTGGATAGGTTCAGTGTTGACCGATCTGGGTGGATTCTATCAAAATTTGGGGAGTTTTGAAATAGCGTGTGCTGTAACAAAGATTTTTGGTCTTTATTGTGTAGTAGCTGTCAAAATTGTTAGTCAACACTCAACATCGCCTGGCATCATTTTTTCTGGAAGCTTGCTCTAGACGCTCTAGATTGTAACTTATTAGAAGTTTCAACTTTAAAAAAAGGTACGAAACAATATTTTAAAAATGTCTGAAGCGCTGAAGGCACAGCTGGAAGTTAAATCCAAGAGCCAACAGATTCAGCAATCTTTGAACGATCTGTACGGCTGGGAGCAGGAGGTGAAGCAGCAAAAGGAGGCCCAGTCTCGGCAGCAAAAGAAAGAGGTTAGTGTTTTTTTTTTCCTGTTGTATGCATCTGGAAAAGTCTAAACCTTTGTTTTGAGAAAGCGATGGATGGATTTTAATTATCGGTTTCTATATCAAGCTTGCAGCTTACCTTCTTGCAAATTGTTAGAATTTGCTGTTCTTGCTCTAAGCATTCGGTGGTTATTATTGAATGCTGTACTTGGCATAAGTTGTGTACAACCAGAAATGAATTTGTTTTCTAGCAGGTGTAAGTTATATTTTGCAATGGGGCTTCTGAAATGTTTTATGTTTTATTTTACCGTTATCATATTATCGGTACAGTTGAAAACCGGAAAACCCCACACGCGACAATCGATTTTACTCTTGTTATGTGCGTTAAACATAGCGTCTGACCTAATGCGCTGTATTCGAACAATGATGCGCTATAATGCGCACTAAGCCCGACGTAATGTTTAACGTATAGAACGGGAGTAAAATCGAATGTCGCATGTGGGATTTTCCGGTGTCCAAATTGACCGACGATATTTCTATCTTAAACACTGGCCAGACTGATGCCTTATTTCTTGTTATAACTCTGTAGTCTGAAAGAGGCATTATTAAAAAAAATCGTGAGAATTTGCTTATTGCAAACGTTAATATAATGCTGTTTTCGATTTTGTGAGATTCAAGAGTTCCTGCATATTATTTGTGTTGTTAATTTTGTGTAGGTAGATATTTTCTTGTGTTATGATGTTGCTTTCTGAGGACAACAAAGATCTGCAACATAACTTAAATGTGGTTTTCCGGGTACGTTTCACAGGAAGCAATCTCGCCACCGGTTAGAAGCCATGTCGATGAAATGAATAAATTCACCGAGGATCAATACACCAACGAAAAGCAACAACTATCTACTGGCTCAATTTATTTGAAGGACGTTGAGGAAGCCGAGCATTACAATAAAAAGGGTATTGATCTGTGCAGGAGAGCAAAAGCAGGAGCAGATGCCAGCTCGTATAATGAAAAATGTGATCTTAACGCCATCTATATGTTTACACAAGCAATTGAGCTGACCAGTCAAAATCCTGATTATTATGTCAACCGAGCTTTGTGTTATTTTAACTTGGAACGATTCGAAAATTGTATCACTGATTGTAATGCTGCAATTGAACTGGACAGTACGTTTGTTACCGCTTATTACCGTCGGATGTTGACCTACGAGTGCATGGGCAACAGCCAATCAGCCTATTTGGAATGCCAGAATATTCTGAAGATGTCAAAAGATGCTAGTCTTCTGGCTAGAACAAAACATGATATGGAGAGGATTGGAAAACGTTTGAAGGAGGAGGCAGACAAGCATAAGACTTTGGGAAATAAGCATCTCTCAGAAAAGGACTATCAACAGGCTTGCGAATGTTTCTCAAAGGCTATTTCTGTATTTGCTTCCGAACCAATTTACTACCACAATCGCAGTTTAGCCTACTATCATTTGAAGAAATATGAATGCTGCTTGTTGGATTGCAATAAAGCTATTGAATTGGATGCAAATTACTTTCGTCCCTATTATCGGCGCGCTTGTATTCGAGAACTTCGTACAGACTACCAAGGAGCCATAAATGATTTGAAAAAATTCCTTGAGCTGGTGAAAGACGACAAACAACGCTTGACTGCCGAAGGAGATTTGGAACGTTTGCAGCGAATTCTGTACAAAAAGTCATTGCCAGAATCTTACAACTGGAACGATTTGAGGAACAACACTTCAGTCGTTAATTTTGTCCAAAAACCGCCTCACCTGTGTTCTAAGGTAAGTGTTTGTTAATAATCGTGGGTCGATCCCATTTTACAAATATATCATCTTTTCAGAAACCGCTAAAGCGAATTCCGATCTGCGAAGTATCCTCTTCCACTGATTCAAATATGAACCCTTCCAACTACGTCATCGCGTCCAACTATGAAAAAATTCCGGACTCAGTAATTGATAAGATTTTTAATAATAACACTGGCGAGCGCGTGGTTGAACCGAAAGTAGAAAACAAGCTAGAAAACCTTTTTCCTTCAGCTTCGATGCCCAAATTGAAGCAGTTATTTTCCCCACCTACAACGCCGTCCAGTCCTAGCGAACCGATCGGTAAACAGTCGACAACTGGTGATACTCAACCAGTTAGCAACAGAAACAGCAAACAGGTCTCTAGACCAGGGGAATTGAATATTAATAAGAAGTCTATCAAGTTGAACGAGACTAACACCATGGCAGAACCGCAGTCGACAGAAAAGGCGAAAGAAGATAAGGATAAAATTAACCAAGGAAACGTAAGTGTGCTCGGCCCTTGTGCCATTGCTTGATTGGCTTTTGCTAAATTTTCTGCAAGAGTCAGTGTAAATAGATAACTAGATATAAACTTGTATAAGCAACTGTTGGTTTTCTATATTTGCATGCTAAACGAGAACAAAACTGTTGTTAGTTGAAATCAAATAATTTTTCAACATAGGTTACGTAAATGTTAACGTTTGTTATGAAACAGAATCTTTCCTGTCACAATACTTATTTGGTACAACATCTCAACTTGTCTATATCTATAATCAAAACAAGCGAAAATAGTATCTATTTAGAAGTAGATTTTTAAAATACTGCTCAATGATAGTTATTCAGACTTGGTGAACACGTCCTTATGGCATTAAAAAAAACACATTAAAATTACAGTACAGTTACTTTTCTCTCCAAACAAAGACGAAACGTCTTTTTGATACAAGCGTTCATAACTAGAAACGCTTCGTTTTTACTTCCCCAATGAGGTCCTAGCTCATCAGCAATGTTTGTATCGTGAAGCACCATATTCAATCTTGTTCGCTGAGCTAAGATATAATTTTGAAAATAATGATAACATGTCGGACTCGATTATTCGTAACTGGCTGTTTTCATTTCGTACAGTATCACCCAGCTCACCCGACAAAAACAGGACCGGATAATCGGGGTTTGACTAACTAATCCAACTGCCAAATACATACTAAAAATCAAAACAATCAGACAGTATGCGTACAGCACAAATCTAGAAATTGACAGCATAATGCGTGTTTTTACTTTTAATCCGACATTTTGCGGAATAACGAGGTCCGGATTATCGAGTGTCGGATGGATACTTTTCTTTCTTTTACATTGCATTGTGGTAGATGTACCAGTTATGGCTATATGTTCATATAATGGTGTGCAATGGAATTTCCATAGCCCATAATCGGAACACACCAATAGAAACGTGAAGCCATAACTACCCTAAAAGGATTTCAATTGAATTACTAATGCTTGACTAAATTTTATTAAACGGTATATCACATGTAATGTTAGCACATAAGAGTTGGGTTATCCATAATCCACGTAAACAGTTGGAGGGTTGTGTTTCGATTCTACGGTCTATACAAATTATAAAAAAAAATTACGATCGACTTTAGACGAGGGTCTACAATAAAAAAAAAATTATGGGCAGCCTCCAACGAAATTATCGAATTAGTTCGTTACATTTATGCATAACTGATCAGGGGACTGGTTGGGATCCATGCTTCTTACGCTAAAGATAACGAGTTCAATTCTCAGCCTCGAAAAAGATTTTTTCTAAGTGTGTACGCACACTAATACCTCGGAGTCAAAGTCTTAAATAAATAGCAGACTGAAAGCATTTCCATCAGAATATTGTTTGTAGGGTTAACTACCCCATTTCCGGCCTATTAAGCATAACCCGCACTTAGTCTTTCTTAATCTAGTTCAGCTTAGCACCAAACGGATTGTTATTATTATTGATGGCTTCCAAATTTATTTATCTTTTCGTACGTACCGTAAGATTTTAAAACGAGAAACCAATCGTTGAGATATTGTCAAAAGTCCAACACTGCTTCTTGACGCCAACTCGGCCTATGGATTTTAAACTTGGTCTAACGCATTGAAACGCAATTGAAACGCCATTGAATTTACTTCGGCCTATCGGATGAAGATAAAAATTGATTCGGTCGGAGCGCTTCTTTTGATTTTGGGAATAATGGGTGCAAACCTTCATATCACGCGTTCGCAATGACTTCGTTCGTTAGATTATTAACTAAAGTATCGTACCAAACGCATAATTGACTTGTTAACTCTGACATCATGGATTTATTTGAAGTTTTCTGCTCGATAGGCCCAAAATGGGCGATTAGGCCGAAGTAGTTCTCTACCCTACTAGCTCCGTATTTGAAAGAGAATGAGCCTCTAGGTAAAGTGAGCGACTGTCCATATTATATCATACACCATGGACAATCACCCATATATTAACCTAATGCATCTTTTATTAGGGGAGCTTTTGACGTTTTTCTTATGAAAATATGCCGTTTTCAAATATTAATATCTCTGGTTGGGGCAAACATCAAAAAAATACCTTTAGGCGACATTTGAAAGAGGGCGTATATTATTCTAAATAATATTAAAATATATAGAGTTATGTTATGTTTTTCCCTCCCCTTGGTTAGTTTTTGCACCTTGCTGTTGGTGGGCGGGTGAGTGGGCATGCTTTTTAGTGGAGTGTTGGAGACGGTAGGTTTATGGCCGATGTTGCTGGCCCATGCCGCGATAGAATGGCACCATGGGCAGGCAATGGGGATTACTAAGCTTCCCCTTTCTGATAAACCACTGTAGGAGAGAACCAAAGATCTAGTCTAGCAGTGATAGTATAACAGTTGTTACTCCTTTGATTGAGAGCCGCGTCGTAGTACGATTACGTATAGGCACTGACGTTGGGTGCGATACTGGCGAGTTTTGCTGCAAATCACTCTTATTTTATTTATTTTCACGCAGATGGATTTATTTGGGTTTGCAAGGGAATTGTACTATTGAAGTATTTCAGTAAGTGCCCATCAGTGATCCTTCTATTTGCGTGACAAGCTTTCATTGTTGTTTTCATTGAAGTATTACTCAGGGAACAACGTTAAACACCATTTGTGTACATGGTATTGTAACTAATCTTATATGTGCTTCATTTTGGTTTGGGATAAGTGTTTGAACTATGGCTCGGGATTTCCACTGTGGTGTGCTTCTATTGTGACATATCCATATGTATTTTTGTGGTGTGACATAGTGGACGCGTGTGCGCATAGTTGGAGCATATACACTATATAATATATAATTTAAAATTAGCTTGGAAACTAACTTCAAAGTGAAGCATTTTAGTCACTTGAAGGTATCACCTGGGACGAACAAAGATATAATTAATATATTTCAAAGCCAGAAGTACTTGAAAGACGTTAAATTTTAGTTTGAAAGCATGGGTTACGATTGTGTAGGCAGCTTAGAGATTTCAGTTATTTATTAATTAAGACTAAATAATCATCAAATGAACTTCAATAAGAGAATTCAGAAAGTCAATTAACATAAGAGATAAGATGTGGGGGGTCCGCTTAGGGAGGCAACTGGCCTTTAGAGTTGTATAATAAATCTTCCTATTTAGTATATTTGTTAATTACAGGCAATGTCAATAGCAGTCATATCTTCAATCAGGCGCTTACGAATAAGTGAAGTTTTGGGATAGGTGTGTTAAACATGTTGATAGGTTTGAAATAAGAATTAGGATTGTTGTGCTTTAGTTTTTGGTAAGGTATGATGTGTCAACTAAACCCTTTTGAGCCAATGTTCAAAAATCAAATTGATTGAGCGATTTATTGAAAGACACCTTCATTGAAACATTGCGTTGCGTTAGAAAACAGTATTCTTCTCTAACGAAAATTGACAAATCATACATCTAACATAGTAGTGTAGCAGTGTCGCATAATCTAATCACAATTGCTGCAAATAGTGCCGGCAGGGCTGAATACGGATCAAAACTAACATAACTCTTAACACTTAAATGATCCCTGAACTAACACTCAGCCATTGCACTTTTAGTTATATATTACTTTTATTTTCCAACTAATTTATCTATGCTTCTTTCTATTGTTTGGATCAAGTACAACTAATACTAAACGACCTTTATGTATGCTTTACTCCCTTTTAACCCATTATCTTTATGAATGGCGAATCTTATGGAGCTGGAACTCAAAGAAATAACGTGATTTCAATGGACTAAGGAGAAGGAATAGAATTACTTCGAACAGGATATCAAACAAATTCAGGACCAGTCTATTAGAGACCAGAAATCAAAAAGGCACCAGTGATTTATATACTCGGAGAGGTATTTGATAAATAATCAAAAAGTGGTACCGTAAAACGGGGTTTCTTTGATAATGCGGGTAACTTTGATAGTATAATATAAAGATTAAATTTACTCGCTGCGCTTTTTCTAAATTATACATATTGGTTCCATATTGTAGCTTAGGGTATTTCCGTTGATATCGTATATATTTTCTACATAGTAGGGGAATTTACGTATTCTCGGAAACCTAAGCAGCGACCTTCTTTCTATAGCCTTTTTCTCTATGGAACGCACACATATGCAGTATTGGTTTGTTTATAATCTTTTGCTGCCAGCTGCTCTAACAATTTCAGTCGAAAGAATTGTCAAAAACTGTTTTGAAACGCTTTTACAAAGCTCCAATCTTCTCTAGTGAGAGCGAGTATTGTCGGCAACCAGTTTTTCTTCGGCAACCGTTCCATTTGAACTGCATGAAAATCTGCTGTTCTATTATCGGCAACTCGAAATCAGCTAAAATTTGTAGTGCGTGTGTTTCATTTCAAGAAAACCTTGCTAGATTGCTTTTTCACAGTGGTAAAAATATAGTCAAATTGAAGCTGAACGCATAAAGAATCGTTTGCATGCATTCAGCGAAGTGTTTTCGTAAGAAAATCCAGTGAAAATAGTGTTTCAATTTGGGTTGCTGAAAATAGTCTGTCATGCCGAAGCCGTCATTTCCCCTATGTGTTACATATTTTACAAACATATTAAAAAACCATTTTCATATTTTTCGCATGTTTGAAAAAGCACTCAAACCATAATTTATTACCGATATAGACATCACAAATTTAATGTTGTTTTTGTATTGCCTATGATGTTTTCTGATTATATACTCATTCAAAGTTTCATATTTAAAGAACTGAAAAGTTTGAGTTTCACGATTTTTTTCTATATTCATCGAGCATTATCAAAGTAACCCCAAATCAAAATACTGATGTTCGGTCACACAACTTAAAAAATAGTGCAAATGCTTTAGTTTCCGATAAACAAATAACTATCGAATTAACTCCTGGATCCTCAGTACTTGTTTTAAAAATATAAAATTAAAAAAAAAATATTCATTGCTGCAAAAAATATTTAGAATATACTTTAAAAAATTATCAATGCTACCCCGTTTTACGGTAAGCT